GTGTTTACCACACAGCAGTGGATTTCATAAATTCCAGGATCAGACATGATTCCAGTGGCGACACACTTGGCTAATATGAGAAAATGCAGGATTAGGCAATCAACAATGAGGAAGTCAGCCAAGTTGCCACCCAAAAATTACCACAGCAGCTGCAGTCCAGAAATGCTAACAAGCCAGTCTCCCTAGGAGTGGGCCATACTCAGCTGTGGACCACTCACAACATTTTCTCACTTTATCTTGCTCCACTGTCCGTGTACTGCAATGATTTCTCCTTTGCTTGCTTCGTATATTTAAAATTGTCTTCCCTAAAAACTGAACTTACAATTAATATTTGCTACCAAGAGGGGGTAGCAGTGCCTAATCATGTAGGCATTTATCCCACTCTGTCGGTACTGAGGGTAAGCAGCCTCTTCCTTTTTAAAAACTTTATTATGATGATTTACAAAAATGGAAACTTACAGGATAAACACCCAACAAAAAAGTAGCCAGTCTCAATAAACCAATTTTTGTGTATGAATTAATACTATTTTATTAATCCATGGCCAGGATGATTCTTAAGATTATTTCTTAATTCTCTGAACAGCTTAAAAGAGAGAAACTCCTTCTTTTTTATTTACTTGCTTTAAGGTTGATACTCAGGTTTTTAACACAACTCTCTAGCTTTGACAACTCCTCTTATAATTTAAAATCCTTATAGCTTCCATTTACAAGTAAGGATTATATCTATTTTAGTCTCCTCAATCAACTACCTAGAAGACTTGCCACTTGGAAACAGAAGGATAGCACCCACTCTTCCCACTCTCCAGTCCTCTTCTCCCAAAGTTGCCCGTATTTCCCTTCCCTGAAGTCAATCAAATACTCCATTGTTTCTCGCTAAGAGTAATTTTTCACTCTTAAGTACAAATAGCTCAACAAAAATTCCCAGTAGCATAAATACGCACATCAATAAAATAATTACTACTCACAATAGACTTTCCATTACATATGTTTCACAAGCATTGGTTTTCTTAAAAAGAATCACACATACAGCACTCAAATTATTGCAGATTCTAACTCAGTTGAGTTTGATTTAATGTTTTTGCTACTTTTTTTTTTTAAAGAAGTGTCCTTCCAACACTAAAGAAAAAAAAAATCAGAATCAAGAAAATTCTGTTTCTTAGCAACAGAAAAATCAAACTTCTGTTACTAAGTTTGGTAACAGAACAGTACTCTAAATTATCCTCTGAACCACACGATTTACCATGTGATACTGGGCACGTTACCCATGACATCTCTTCACCAACATTGCTGCTAATTAATCTTCTTAATCTTGTGGGATCACAATATGAATAACAAGAATGAACATAAGACACATCTGTGGGAATTATGAAGGTGAGATTATAAAGAGTCAAACCTCATCCCCATTTTTAAATTTTATAATAACTATAACCACTAGTAGAAATATAACTACTACCCTCTCATATATATGTGATGTTATTAAGTTTACAAAGTGTTTTGATATTTCATCTTCATGGTTGCTATTTATTCATAGAAAAAATTATTCTCAGTTTCTGTAGCATTATTCTTAATGCCAATCCTACAGAGGCTGGAACAGGCTCAGAGAGGCTAAATAACTTGCCTAGGTCTCCTGGTTGACAATAGGTCCTAAGGCAGTGTTTTCTGAATCCCTTGTTCTTACATCAAAACAGAACTGTGGCCGGGTGTGGTGGCTCATGGCTGTAATCCCAGCACTTTAGGAGGCCAATGTGGGAAGATCACTTGAGCCCAGGAGTTTGAGACCAGCCTGGGCAAAATAGTGAGACCTCAATCTCTGGGGAAAAAAAAAAAAAAAAAATATATATATATATATATATGTAATTAGCCAAGTGTGGTGGCACACCTGTAATCCCAGCTACTTGGGAGGCTGGGATGGGAGGATCACTTGAGCCCAGGAGGTCAAGGCTGCAGTGAGTCGTGACGGTCCCACTGCACTCTAGCCTGGGTGACAGAGCGAGACCCTGTCTCAAAAAATAAAATAAAATAAACTAGAGCTGCTCTAGTTCCTATCAATCCCTCATCATGACATAGTGTGATAAACTAATTTCAACTCTGAATGATTGATAATGGCTTTATGTGTTCTGTTTCCCAAGTAATAAGAACATTTTAACACAAGCCTTTAGCGCTTTTCGAATAATCATAGCCAAATGAGAAAATTAATATGACAGACAGGCAGACTGAACAAACATTTGGTGAGAAGGAAGAGGAGAGAATACAGTAGTTTGGATCCCTCAAATCATATGATGCAGTAGCTGCCTCACAACTCTGCTCACACGTAAGACTAGATAGAGACAGGACCATATCTACTTCCTGTAGGGGACCCATGGCAATACTAGAGTCTAGTAAAAGGGTTGTCCTCTCTGCATGTGACAATATACTGTGTTCCACTCCCCCCACATACACCTTGTGCAGCTCCAATAATCTCATTCATCACACTTCTCCAGGTGAGAAATGGTGCCTTCTCACATCCCACCCAAAGTGTTTCCTAAAGATCTTTAGCTAGGGCGGAGCAGAGAGTGAGACCAAATGATTCAGGCAGCCATCTGATTCAAGCTTTAAAAAAAAAAAATCCTGGCAGGGCGCAGTGGCTCACGCCTGTAATCCCAGTACTTTGGGAGGCTGAGGTGGGCGGATTACCTGAGGTCAGGAGTTCGAGACCAGCCTGGCCAACATGGTAAAACCATGTCTCTACTAAAAATACAAAAATTAGCCAGGTGTGGTAGCAGGCGTCTGTAGTCCCAGCCACTCAGGAGAATCACTTGAACCCAGGAGGCGGATGTTGCAGTGAGCTGAGATTGTGCCACTGCACTTTAGCCTGGGTGACAGAGTGAGACTCTGTCTCAAAAAAAAAAGAAACAAAAAACAAAACTCCTTTCCCTCAAATTACCTAAGAAATTGTCCTTTCCTTCTTTGCCTTGAAGACAGTTAATGGGGAAAGTTCCTCCCTGTGCACAGTGAACAAATCCATTCACTATTCCTACCCTAAGGCAAATCCTCCCACACATCCTCCATCTCTCGCAATCTCTCTGTTACCAGCCCTCACTTGGCAATATCCTTCTTGACTCCTGGCAGCTCCAATGAGGGACACTCATTATATAGCTACATAAAAGATAAAAGGTGAATATGGACCAACTTCTGGAAAATTTGGACTTAAAACATGGAAACGCAGGAGAGACAGGAAATAGGGTTAAATCCCCCAGATTTAGCTATACACGTTAATTGAATTTACCAAATAATCATTTGGGTCTCATAGACACCAGCTATTCCCCTGATCCAAGATGTTATCTAGCAGCCTGTAATGCTTCCCAGTCATCCTCTTGACAGGACAGGGCACACATAGAAAATGATATTTGTATAGTCCTCTGGGGTAAACAGTTGGAGAGTTAGAATCTCTGATAAGCTCAGAAGCAACCAGTCCCCAGTCACTTGGGCCACTTCAGGTCCTGCTTGTCCAGACACAGAGAGGACCGAGGAAACCAATATTGTGGTGACCAGCTATGAGGCTTAATCTTCATAACCCATAGCCCAATGTCCTCTTACCAAGGTGTTGTCCTATCTCACCCACAGCTCAGCCAATCCAGTAGGTCTTCCTTCCCCACCCTGATCACTGACCCGTCAATCAAGATAGCCCTCCCATCCAAGGAAGCGGCCATTTCCCCTCCCACTCCACCCAGGCCAACTGCTATCCCACAGGTTACTCTCTTCTTCATTCTAAGGCAAGCTATTCCAAAGACTAAAAATGCCTAAGATTCTGTCTTAAAAGCTTATCTGCATAGTGATCTTCAAAAGCAAACATGAATTTCTCGAGGAACAGAAACACCCTTAGCCCCTGCCCTTTTCTCCATAGCATCATTCTCTGTCCCACCAAGCTGGAGCTGGGAAGGGCCTTTCTCTGGGAGAGGTATGACCTGGAGATGTTCCGCTTCAGAGCCACCTCAGGGATCTTGCTTAAAAATGCATATTTTGCCAGGCAAAGTGGCTCATGCCTATAATGCCAACAACTGCGGAGGCTGAGGTGGGAGGATCTAAAGGCCAGGAGTTTGAGACCAGCCTGGAAAACATAGTGCCAGCCCTTTGGTACAATTTTTTTTTTTTTTTTTTGAGATAGAGTCTTGCTCTGTCACCTAGGCTGGAGTACAGTGGTGCAATCTTGTCTCACTGCAACCTCCGCCTCCTGGGTTCAAGCAATTCTCCTGCCTCAGCCTCCCAAGTAGCTCGCACTACAGGCACGTGCCACCACACCCGCTAATTTTTGTATTTTTTTAGTAGAGATGGGGTTTCACTGTGTCGGCCAGGCTGGTCTCAAACTCTTGACCTCAAGCCCTCTCTCTGCCTTGGCTTCCCAAAGTGCCGGGATTACAGGCATGAGCCACTGTGACCTGCCAACATTTTTTTTTTAATTATCTGGGCCTGGTGTCCCGTGCCTGTGGTCCCAGCTGCTCAGGAGGCTGAGCCAGAAGGCATCATTTGAGCCCAAGAGTTGGTGGCTTCAGCTCTATGATGGTGACACTGCACTCCAGCCTGAGCAACAGGGCAAGACCTGTTTCTAAAATAAATAAATAAATTTTAAAAATGCAAATATCCACCCCAGCCCCACCCTCTAACCCCACCTTCCCCCACATCACTAAATCGGAATCCCTAGGGTGAGGCATGGAATCTACATTTTAAACCAGCTCCCAAGGTGATTGTTCCGCACCATTCCACGTCAGAGTTTGAGAGAGCCTCTGATTTATTCGGGCCCTCTTTCTTTACAGAGAAGGAAAGCAGAAAGCAGGCACCAGAGAGGTGAAATGAGCTTGTCCAAGGTCACAGGTTGTTAAGGTGACCAGAGCTGGAGGAAACCCCATCTCTCTCGCTGACTAGAACAGCGCCAGCTAGGAAGAGCCTGGAATAGTGACCGACTGGCAGGCCAAACCGTCCCCTGCCCCTGCCCCTGCCCTGGAGAAGCGGGCCCCTGCACTCACCCTCTTGTAGATGTCCTCCCGGCTGGCCTCATACTTCTGTTGCATGCGCTCCTCCAGGAAGTAGATGCGCAGCTTGAGGCTGAAGTTCTCCTTCTTCAGGTCATTGAGGTGCTGGGACAGAGTGCGATATCCATTAGACATGATGGGCAACCCATGGGGAGGAGCGTGCCCGATTGCCCCCTCAACCCAGGAACATGGTGCAGCTGCACCGCAGCATGAAGCCAGCCGGCTGGGACGCTGCTGAGGCTGCGGACCGAGAGGCTGGGGCTATGGCGACATGGCCCCTATTGCTGGAGCTCTCTCCGCGACTCAGGACTGGGCTCACTGCTCTGGGTGCTGGAGCGCAGCACACTTTCCTTTTTTACCTCAGGGAGATATTTGTGGAATCCCTGACAGAGGAACATGCTGCGTGAACTCAGACACAAGTGGTGTAACCCGACTCCAAGCCAGGACTCTGCTGTCACCCTCCTGGAGCCTCCCAGGCCCAACTGTAGGCAGTTGACAGCTTCTCGGAAAGGAGAGAATGACCCCCAAGAGCTTCCAGGAAAGGCGGAGGGGAGTAATTCAAGGTGACAGTGAGGTTGCAAAGAAGAGAAGGAAATAAAGGGTGGGGAGGGGGTATTTAAGTGACTTGTGGCTGATTTGGACTATAAGACCAAAAGGTGTGTGGCCAGAAGCAAGAAATAAGGTTGCTATAGAAAACACCACATGTACATAAAATGGCCCACAAAATGGTAACCACATGTCAAATATCCCCTTTCTGTCCAGTGCAAATCTCAAAGAGCTTCTAACCAGAGGAGTCTCCATTTCCTTTGATAATCCAGAGCTCACCTCTAATGAGTTCCTTTGCAATTTTCAGCCCCAAGCTTTTCGAGCTCTGAGGCAGTTCAATTAATAGCCTTTATTGCCATGAGCCATCCCCCGAAACACACCATAGCTACCCACAAAGAAAGAGCAAATCTTCTAGCTCAGTGGAATCTTTGCAGACTTCTGTTAACCAGTTACAAAGTTCCGAAAGAGGCAGGGTCAAGGGATCCTCCCTCCATGGAAGAAGGGATGGGCAGAAGAGAGTGTGGGAGGATGACAAAGAGGGAGCCGTCATCCTGGAGCCCAAAGATTTCAGGCAGTCACTGGTTCTTAACGCTGGCACCTGCCAAGTGGAGCCGGGCACTCATCACAGATCTTGCTCCTAAAGTAATTTAAGATCCTTGAGTGACAGCTGCAACATTAGCAGGAAGTATTATTTATACCACATTACACTGAAGGTGATGGGAGACAATCCCACAGCACAGATACCAAACACGGGTTCTTGGTGGCAATAATATCAGGTTGAAAAAAAATATATTAACATCCAAGGTAAAGGAAACTAAAAAATTTACACTTAATTCAAGCCCTCATTTCCTCCCCATCTTACCTGCTTTTCAGTCTTCCAAATCCTTCCCAAACCTTCATAATCATTCCAGTCAACAACTCCTGAGTACCCACCAGGTAGGACATTGGGCATGAGGGATATATAGATCAAGAAAGTCCCAACTCTGAAAGAGCTCCGTGGCCATACAGCTGGTCATGACATGTTAAGATATGTGTTTTACATTATGATCCCCCAAACCTGTGCTTTTCAACTTTTACATGTTACATTGCAATCTAGTACATATGCATACACTCTTAATTGAAGTAAGTGTTTCAAAAAGTAATTGTCACCATCACTCCGTGTGATGTACCCTGATATTTCCTGTTTCTTTTCCTGGGAGTGACCCACAGATGGATTTCATGACTCACTAAGAAGTTTCAGCCTAAGTTTGAAAAACGTTGACTCCAGGGGAGCCCGTAAGAAAGGGTAGTCAGTTCTTACTGGGGTGATCAGAGAAAGCTGCATTAGGAGTTGAATTTGCACTTTGCCTTGAAAGATAGAAAATGTTTGAGTGGATAAAGTGGCCTCAGGAGGGCATAATTAGAGTGAAGCATTTTCCCAAATACATTTAGATTATAAATAGGCAAAATAGGCAAGCCAAAATATTTACCATTTGAAAAAACAAAACTACACATTTAAAATTCATTTAACTATTTTTACTAAATCTGAATTATTAGAATAAGAGAATGCCAATTAGGCTTAGTTAGAGACAGTGAAGAAAAAAGTCTAAGTTAAAACAACTCAAAATAACCTTTTCCATTCCCAGTTCTCTTACTAAATAGCTATGTTATCGACCGTAGGCGTGCACTTCTCTAGAGGCCTAACTGTCCTCACTTTAAAATTGGTGATTTTTCTTTTTTCTTTTTTTTTTTTGAGACGAAGTCTCACTCTGTCACCCAGGCTGGAGTGTAGTGGTGCAATCTCAGCTCACTGCAACCTCCGCCTCCCGGGTTCAAGCCATTCTGCTTCAGCCTCCTGAGTAGCTAGGACTACAGGTGCCCGCCACCATGCCCGGCTAATTTTTCGTAGTTTTAGTAGAGACGGGGTTTCACCGTGTTAGCCAGGATGGTCTCGATCTCCTAACCTTGTGATCCTCCCACCTCGGCCTCCCAAAGTGCTGAGATTACAGGCATGAGCCACTGCGCCTGGCCAAAATTAGTGATTTTTAAGGCTCTTTCCTGGTCTAAGCTCTGCAAGGTGATAACCCAGTTATTATCACCTCTATTTTGCTCAAAGGAAGCCAGACTGCTAGAGTCTAGATTAGTGTTTAACCATGCTTTGGTTGTCTACTTAGATTCCTTTATCAGGTAAGATAATTTCATATAAGTTTTACAGGAAGTAAAACTGCATATGAATCCATGCATAAGGGTATTCTTATGCATCCTAGATTTCTGTTGGACATTTATGCCTCTTTCCTCTGTGATATCTTGTTCTTCTATCTCTCTGGCTCCTTTTTCTATGTTTTTTGCCAGCTCCTGAAAGTGGGTATTTAAATAATGGTAAGTCCTTAGCCTTCTACTTTTTCCTTCTACTTTTTTTCTGTTCACATTTTTTTTTTCCAATGGAGGTTTTACCCACTTTTAGGGCTATACTTTCACCTTTGAAACAACTCCCAAATCTCCAACCAAGTCTTCTCACCCAAGATCTAGCCCTACATATTCAACTCTTTGCTTAGATCATTCAACTTGAATGTTCCCAAATTCCACCCAAGCAAAGCCTTTCCTGTTACCCTAGCCTGGAAAGACTTCTTCCTCTTTTGAACTCCAAGGCAGATATTAACGTTCGACAAGTGTTCATCTGCTGCCTTATGATGTGGCTTTTGTTATCTTGAAGGTTATTTACATCTTTTAGAGTTATGCGACTTTTTGTGTGTTTGATCTTTCCAACTAGTCTGAAGCTGCCCCAGGAAAAAGTCAATGACTAATACGTCTTCATAAACTCCTACAGCTTCCATAACAACCTAGACCTCTCCAGCAGCATTCATCCCATTGTGCTGCCACAGCCTGTTTACAATGACCTCAACCCAGCTAGAGTGTTTTGAGGGCTGACAAGGCATATTTTGTGTCCTTGTATTCTTATTGCATAATATTCAGGAAGCACTCCCTAAATATTTGTGGAATAAATGAATAGGTGAGTATTCCATAAATATCGTAACCTTGTGATCCTCCCACCTCGGCCTCCCAAAGTGCTGGGATTACAGGTGTGAGCCACCGCGCCTGGCCTGTTCACTTAAATTTCTAAGTTTATATGCCCACCCTGATCTTTTCCCTGAACTCCAATTGATATCTGACTCCCTAGTAAAAATCTCTGCTTGAATTTAGACTTCACATACTTGTGATACCTGAAACTGAATGCCTGATCTTTCCCAGTAAACATGCTCCTCCCTCACTATACCTTTTTTCAATTTGTAACAAGTCAATATTTTCAGATTTTTGGGCCTAAACCTTTGAATCATTCTTGATTCATTCTGTCTCCTACATATCATCTGTCTGCAAAACTTATTATATATACTATACGTAATAGTATATATATTAATAACATATATGGTAGTATAATATGTATATGGTGTAGTTGTTGTATTATGCATATAATATACATTATACTATATTATATATACTATCATACTACTATATATATATTTTAAATATATATGTTATGTTATACTACCACTACTGCCACTGGTATTTCTACCACCCTGATCCACAGTACTGCCATCTTTTCCTTACACGACCTGAATAGCCCCTTAACTGGTGTTCCTGCTCCCACTCTTGTTCCCTTATAGCCTATTCTCAGCACAGCAGCCACAGAGACCCTTTTAAAATACGTCGGATTACTCCTCTGCTGGAGAGCCCCCCTGGCTTCCCATCTAACAGAGTGAAAGGTGATGTCCCTTCACCAGACTGCAAGGCCTGAGGCCCTACACTCTCTTCTCGCCTCCCCTCTTACCTCCTCTACTTCTTCCTACCACTCTCCCCCTGCTCTCTGCTCTAGCCACACTGTTTCTCTTTGTTGTTTCTCAAAAACAGGAAGCAAGAGAAGGTTTCTTTTTTGATGCCTTTGAACTTGTTGACCCTTCTGCCTGGCTGCTCTTTCTCTAGGTAGGTGCAGGATTCTCTCCTCACCTTCTTCATCTTTGATTGAATGTCACCTTCTCAGTGAAGTGAATACTCTATTTAGGCACCCCGTGCCTCTTCCCAGCTCTCGGATTCCCCCTTCATTGTTTTTTATTCCGTAGCACTATCACCTTCTAAAATACTACATGCACTTATTTGTTTTGTTTCTTGTCTGTCTCTCCCCACCAGCATGTAAACTTCCTGAGAAAAAGGGGCTGTTTTCTTGGTTTGTTCACTGCTGTGTCACCAGTGCCCAGAATGGTGCCTGGTACATGGCAGGTGCTCAATAAATATTTGCTGAATTAAAGAATGGATGAGTAATTAACCTGCCGATTTATTTCTCATTGGATTAATATGACTTAATCTATACACAAGATTATGTAGATGTTTTAGGATAGAAAAGCACACCTAATAGCATTCCTCCTTATAAAAAGATTATAAGTAAAAGAAATTATTCTAACAGACTCATTTTAATATACCATGCAGAATCTGGACTTTCTACAACAGTTCTGAACAAATATGAACAAACACATATGACAAAATATAAAGGACAATATGAACTATACAAATAGTAAAAACTGGGTCAG